AAAAGTTTAACTAGCCTATCACATGTGCTATGCACGGGATAATTATAGATATTTATATTTGTTTTAAATTTTTTTTAATCTATAAATTATGTTTTTCAAGATTTTTTATAAAAATAATTTAACAATCTTATTACTAACCATAGTGTATGTGAGAAGTTAAAAAGGGTACTGCAGTAATTATACACGGATTGTATCTATAATTATTTGTTTGAGGGGATTTTAAATACTGATGAGGGGATTTTGACCAAATCAATAAATGCAGGTGGAAAGAAAAAATTTAATAAATGCTGATCAAGGGATTTTGACCAAATCAATAAATGTTGAATTTTTTTTAAATAAAAAATTTAGAAATTTCAGATTGGGATATTGAAGCTCCCATAGTCTTTGATAATAATCATATGTGTTGGACTTTTCAATAAATTTTTTTATGTTTGTTCTTAATACATTAAAGTGTTATTATGAGGGATAATAATCATATGTGTTGAGACTTTTCAAGGAATTCATATGTGTTGGATTTCAAAGAATTTTTTTTATGCTTGTTCTTAATGCATTAAAGTGTTATTATGAGGGTAAGACTTAAGAGTTGGGAGAAGTTAATAAATGCTAATATTTTTAAAAAAAAATCAAAAAATCAAAAAATTTAGATTGAGAGATTATAACTCACACAAGGGTTGGGGTTAAAACCTCTTTTTTGCTTAATATATAGTATAGAAGTATAGATAGATAGATGTGTTGGACTTTTTAAGGAATTTTTTTTATACTTGTTCTTAATGCATTAAAGTGTTATTATGAGGGTAAGACTTGATAGTTGGGAGAAGTTAATAAATGCTAAGATTTTTTTTTTAAAATAAAAAAATCAAGAAATTTAGATTGGGAGATTAGAGCTCCCACAAGGCTTGGGGTTAAAAACCCCATTTTGTTTAATATATAGTATAGAAGTATAGATAGATAGATGTGTTGGACTTTTTAAGATTTTTTTTTTAGGCTTGTTCTTAATGCATTGAAGTGTTATTATGAAGGTAAGGCTTGGGGGTTGGAAGGAGTTAACAAATGCTAAGTTTTTTTTTTTAAATCAATAAATTTATATTGGGATATTGAAACTCCCACAAGCCTTGGGGGTTAGAAACCTCTTTTTCTTTAATATATGCTAGCATATCACCCGTGCTATGCAAGGTTTGTGTTTATAATTATCTATATATGTGAATTGCGATTTTTAAATGTCTTTTTATTTTTTATTTTAAAAATGCCTTCTTTTTTTTCTATTTTTTTATAATATATTAAAGTTTAATATTTTGATAATAATCATATGTGTTAGAATTTTCAAGGAATTAAATATTTTTTTATTATATTATATTAAAATTTAATATTTTGATAATAATCATATGTGTTGCACTTTTCAAAATTTTTTTTTTATACTTGTTCTTAATGTATTAAAGTGTTATTATGAGGTATAATAATCATATGTGTTAGGACTTTTCAAAAAATTCATATGTGTTGGATTTTAAAGAATTTTTTTCATGCATGTTCTTAATACATTAAAGTGTTATTATGAGGGTAAGATTTGGGGATTGAGAGAAGTTAATAAATGCTAAGATTTTTTTTTTAATCAAAATATCAAAAAATTTAGATTGGGAGATTAAAATTCTCACAAGGCTTAGGGTTAAAAATCCTCTTTTACTTAATATATAGTATAGATAGATAGATAGATATTTGCAAAAAATAATTTAAAAAATGATTTGAAACCGTTCTTTGCTGGCTGAGAAGTGGGGTCAGATTGATTCGAACAGAAAATGGACCTGAATGAAGATGAAAAGAAGAAGAAGAAGAAAGAGAAAGAGAAGGTTTGGAATTTCTGTAACATGCCGTTTTGGCAATCCAACAGTACTGGTTCTTCTTTGTCTTCTTCTTCATCTTCGAATAGAGTTTATCGGCAGAGCCAAGTTGTGGGTCAGATAACTACCAACGTTGGTTCATACTCCAACAAAATCTCGTCTATGGTGATGTCTCTTCTTCCTGCTAGACGCAGACTCTGTCTCGATCCACCTAACAAACTCCACTTTCCCTGTACGTTCTACACTCCTTCACACACAATCTATATCCATATATATGTATATATATATTCTATAGATGCATGAGCTTTGTTATGTATACATTTTATTTTTTTATCCTGGGGTTTTCAGTTTCATAATTTGGGTGATCAACCCAATTTTGGCTGTATTTGTACATATATGTATGTATCTTGATATATATACATATACTTAGTTATTTTGAATGTGAGCTTTTCTTTCTATTGAATGAATTTTTTTATTTTTATTTTTATTTTTTTTGATAAATTGTTGTTGACATTTGGTAGAATTGAGAGTTTCTAATTGGGTTAAGGCCTATTTTGATAACTAGGAAAAAGCCGACTTATTGACTTATTTGAATCACATCAGTTTTCTATTTTTTTGCACTTTTTTTTTAAATAAAAAAAAAAAAAAAAAAAACTAACTAATAAGCAGGCTTTTTTCCTAATTCCCAAAACACTAACTAAATTCTTATGCCACTGGTTTAGTTTTCTTTAATCTGTTTATTAATTTTAGTTGCTTTGATCAATGTGGATCACTGGGTTGTTGTTTTTTGTTTTTGTTTTTGTTTTTGTTTTTGTTTGTCTTTTTTTTTTTTCAGTTTTACTCTTGAAAATTGATTGGGAATGTGTTGTTAAGTATCTTTTTTCTATTATTTTTGTCTGTGGTTTATGTTTTTTATGAGGAAGAGTAGTTTTCAAAAATGTCCCTAAAGATATCTGATTTCTTTGCAAATTGTTATGTACATGACTAACTATTTTTTGGACTTTTATTTTTTTTTTGGCAAGATGAACCTGGTAAACAGGTCAAGAGCGCAATTTCGATAAAAAACACAAGCAAGTCTTGTGTAGCTTTCAAGGTATGGAATTTATGCCTTTGTCCATTAGCTGTTCATGTTCTTTTGTTGCTTGATGTTAATATTTGGCTTGTGTTAGCTATTGTCATTCATGTTATCACCCAGATTATAAGTTCGGTTATGACTGTTATTGGCAAGCCATTGGCAAAAGTGTGTCGGGAAAGACTTTTACCGACAAATATATCATTGTGTCGGCAAAAGTAACATCTTTAGCGACAAACATTTAGTCGGTAAAAGCCTTCATTTATTGTCACCAATTTACCATTGTGTTGGCAAAAATGGCTCAAATAAGATTATTGTGTGACACTTTGCCGACCCGAATTTGCATCGGCAAAAATAATACTTTTGGCAACTCAGTATGAGTTTGCAAAAGTAGGCTTTTGGCAACAAATAGGCTTCATCAGCAAAAAATTTAGTTGTTTTCAAAAAAATAATTTGTTATTTGGGATAGCAAAAATTACACCATCACAAATAAAAAATTATTTTCAATAAGAAATATTTATTGTTCAATAGTAATAAATTACATCCACATACATCAATGCATTGATATTAAAAAAACTCTAATTATATAAGTAACAACAATAGATCACATGTGTTCTTACAATTCAAAATTTAAGTCTATACACAGTAATACTTACAAGAGAAACCAAGTAATAAAAATAAAATCAAGTCAATCCCAATTAAAACGATGTATTTATTACATTGGCCTTAGTGTAACCTATAGATGTTTCTATAACTGTCGAATAACCATGGCAATTAGCATTTCTAAGGTTAATGAGGCAAGAGATGTTTCTTCTAGTAACTTTTTTTCCTTCTTTGAACAACCAAACCATTTCAATATAATGTGTTACTTCACGACAATCTGAAATACAAAACATAAAGAAGTTATGAGTTTCAATTCTAAGTGGTTTTGCAAATATCTCTAACATGTAGTCTGTTGTTTTCATGAATTGTTCATGATGTATAACCATCGTGACCATAGGATTAGAAGCAAACACCATTCCAAAATTACTTGTTCATGATAGTATTAAAATCTAGAATCAGTATAACAGTGGCGTTGGAGCACATTCCAAAGCCAACCATGTAACGAAAATGACTCTTAAAGTACTCTACTGAGAGATTTCCCAACTACTTTCTTCTCAACATATCATCAATCAGGATCCTCTTTGGGGAATTCTAGCATAACTATCAATCAAAATCAACCAAATTCTAATCATATACTAGTGGCCCAGCAATCAGTTTCAGCACTAATCATGCAATATACATGAATAATAGTTCCAAGCAATAAAAGAGGAACATACAAGCTTAGAGAATTTACCTTGGGTGTAAACTATTGCAAAATCACATAAGAAATCTGAAGAAATCTTAAACACAAGCAAAATTAGAGCCTAAGTCAAAGCCTAAGCTGCAGCCGACTACACTACTCAAAGAACAAGTGCAGCACATGACACAAGTACAGTCTCAGCATTTGCCTGTTAAATCTTGTGCATCACAGGACTGTAACAATATCAAGATGGATTGTTACAGTGGGATTAGTTGCGGTGGTTAGAATAATTTAAGACATTTTGTACAAGAAAACTAAAATAAAAATAAGAGATCAAGAAAGTGATTGTACATCATTTTTTTTTTTTAATATTTGAACTGGCTATAAAAAAAAGAAATTGTAAAACTAATCTGATTTGATAGAGATAACAACAAAAATTGATTTTAATAATCAAATGCAAAAAATAAAATAAATAAATCATCACATTTCTTTTTTCACCACCTAACATGTAGACACAAAACAGAACATATGATTTTAAACATAATTAGAAATGCACTTGATAGATAAGAAAAATGAAAACAAAAGTTTAATCGTGACAATCAAATGCACAAATCATATAAACAAACCAAAGTTTGAGTAGAAAAAGCAGTAATATGTTGCATAACAGAGGTAAATAATCATTACAATCAAATAGTCTTTAACTTACAGTTAAACCAGTACGAATATAATCTGCTATGCTTTCATTAAGCTTTGGCAATTATCTGTTGTTCTAGTCCAGAACAAGAGGTGAATCCAGAAAATATGGACCTATTTCCCCTCAAACTTCATCTGGAATCTTAGATAACCTCCGTGTCTCTTTATTCATCATCACCCAGACAGTGCACCAAGCAAAGTCACCACAATAATAAATAATAATAAAAAGTCTGGTCGGTCAATAAGTAATTAATTTAATTTTTAGAATATGTTATTGTTAACACACCAAAAATCCATGACTTACCATGCTCCTGGGGATATCTACCTAATCTAAAACATATCTTCACAAAAAACTAAAACATTTCTTACCTGAACAGAAAGAAATCCAATCCACGAGGAAACCCAGAAGACAAATCACAATAACCACACAACCCTTCAAAAGGGAAAAAGAAAAAGAAAAGTAAATACATCAAGTACAATAGTAACACAACAATTCATCAGCAAAAAAATATAAGCCAACAAACTAAATCATGAGCAAAAAAATATAAACCAAAAAAATGTACTATAAAATGAAAATAGCGAACCTCGATAGACCCCTTGTAGAAGATAAACTGCTTTGTATTCAATCCTTAAGAGACAAAGTTTCAATTCCAAACGCAGAAAGTCAACATCCGTAGAAGAAAGATTAACTATAAAGTTCTGAAGTCCGGCTGATCCACTTAAATCAAACAAGGAAAAAAGATAGACAAAGGTAAGCAGTCAAACAAAACGAAAATGAGAAGAAAATATGAGTGAAAGAAACATAGTATTCAAAGTAATCGTAAAAATCGGTAAAAAAAAATTAAATTAAATTATTAAAACCAACATCTGTAGAAGAGGATATCAACTTTATTGATTCTAACTCCAATTGAACTGCTGGAAACATAGGAGAAAGGAAAAACATAGAGAAAATAAGCAATGAAATTAAAGAAAAGCCAAAAGAAAATAGAAGAATATAAATCGTTAATTCATAGAAGAAGAAAAAATCCCGACTCAACTTGTGCCTTTGCTGGAAAACACACAATAGAAGAAAACATGGAGAAGATGAGCAAGGAAAACAAAAAAGACCCACCAAAAAACTGAGGAAGAAGAGATAGAGATGAAAAACAATCGTCATAATAATAATACATTAAACAGAGGCATTATTACACTGCACTATTGACATTATTAAAACATATAATAAAAAAGGAAAATGCACACATGAATGATAATAAGCTTTATATAGAAACTAATTCAAAAACATCCCTATGAAATAAATAAACCAGTAAAAGCAGTGGAATAATAAAAAAATATTATACAAAATACGAACAATAGCAAACATGATCAACCAAAATGATGAATTAAACCTTATAAAACCAATATGAGAATTAAATCATGAGAAATCAAAACCCCTTTCAATACCAAACCATTACGCCTAATAGATGAAGAGAATCCAAAACTCACAAGTTTTCTTTTAAAACAAAATTAATTGAGACCATATAAACTATAATAAGCTCAGACTGCAGAATAAAACTCCATAACATCAGAGAAAGAAAGAAAAGAATAAAAAATATGTGATGGAGAAACAAAAAATCAAGAATTATTACGTGTAAAGAACAAAAAAACAATTCTTGATAATTACTTCACGATGAGACGTGATGATATAGATGGATCGAAATAGAGAGACTATTATTTTGACAATAAGGTTTCAATTTCTCCAACTTAGATTCATAGTCTTCCCAACTCACATTTAAGAAAGTAAAAGAAAAAAAATTCACAACTTAAAATAGCACCCTAATTTTTGAGCTCCTCAATAAAATTCCTGATTTTTCAATGAAAATCCTCAAATCAAAACCCTAGTTTTCTATCATAAAATAGAAATCAAAATCACAATAAATTATTAATGTTACCCAAAGAACCAAAAACAATGTGTGAATAAACTCAATCAACCAACTGAAAAAGGGAAAAAAAAACAAACATAAGAGAAGAAAACCAACCCTGACAAAATCATCAACAATGTGTAAGAGGCAAAAATCCATCTTAACGAATCTGAGGTAGGATCAATCTGATCTGAAAACAAAGACAAAATAAAAATAAATAAATAAAAAGAAATCAGACATAAATCAACAAATTCTATAGAAAAGCTTGATAATAAGCTATTTATAAAAGTACAAGAAGAAATACTAGAACCAAAATTTATGAAACAGCCAAAACCCCATGAATGCAAACTGAACAAAATCAATATAACCTGAAATTTCAAATTTTTGGGTAACCTATTGAACTCATTAAGCAATATCCGATGCCGAAGTTAATGGCGGTGAACCTATTGAGAAGTTGATGGTGGTGAACCCATGGTGAAGCCATATATCGACAGAGAAGAGAGAGCAAAAGAGTTTATTTTTTTTAATTTTTTTAGGAAACAAAGCAGTTCAATTAAGGGGAGAGAAGAGGAAAATAGAAAGATAAGGAAAAGAAACAGATGGCAGAATAGCAACCATTTCTTCTTTTAGTGATTTTCCATTACTAACCCCACCAAAGGATCGAGAAGGGCAAATAAGACTTTTTATCACGATGAGAACACTCACCAAAGGATCGAGAAGGGCAAATAAGACTTTTTATCACGATGAGAACACTCACCGGAGGTCCGAAAACACTGTTCGTTTCTCATTGATGCTTTATATTGTATAGATAGAAACCTACAACAACCCAACGCATGTTTGTCGATAAAAACTTCAACCTTTGCCGACGTGCCATCGACGTCGTCGTAACCCTTATACTAATAGCAAAGGACTGTTTCGTCGCTGAAACTCATTGATCATTGCTAAAACTTCCTCATGTTGGAATGCTAATTTTTTTTAGGCGCCTAATTTATATTTGATTTTTTAGCAACGACTTGTTGATCGCGTTGCTAATGTTAACCTTTTTAGCGATGAAAATGATTTTTGCGTCGCAGAAAGAATCTTTTAGCTACGTAATTTTGATAGTGTCGCCAAAAGTAGTCACTAAAACTACAATTTCTTGTAGTGTAGTTTCTTAAATTTTGATTCAAATTAAGTTATACACCCCTCATCCATATGAGATTTTCATACATTTGGTTAGCCATCCTAAGCAGTTAGCCAGACAGTTTAATTGTTCCAAATTATTTGTCTTTAAATGAAAATGATATCCACGTGTTTACGTATCTGTCCTTGTTTGTAAATTTTTTGTTACTATGGGTTTATAAATAAATCCTTAAATTATATAGTGTTATGCCACCTGTTTGTAATCTTTTGTTTCCAATAATCACCATAAGTTTGTTGTCATTCAAATCATCCGACTGGTAACAGGTTGTTATTGTTTCAGTTTCAAACAAATGCACCGAAGAGTTGTTACATGTGTCCTCCCGGAGGTATTATTGCTCCTGGTGAAAGTCTTATTGCAACTGGTAACATCATCTTTCTTCTTTTTTTTTTTTTTTTATCAGCAAGAAGAAATCTTTATTGATGAAATCATAAAAAAGAGTACATTAATAAAGAAGAGCTCGGAGCTACATTAAGCTCGGAGCTCCAGTTGGAGAGAATCCAACACAGAGGAAAACCAAAGAAACAGAAACAGAATACACAGCATGAGAGTAATCTAGCAGCATACACCAAAAAAAGCAGATTGCACACCCCAACAGGTTGCCCACCATTCAGCACCCAAATCTGAAACAAAACCAAGCTAAACCTGCAAGCTGACCATCTAAATTGCAGCTGACCATCAAAATTGCAGCGAACAAACCTTCATCTCCAAACCTTAGCATCACAAAAACTTCAGATAGCTGAATCAGCAAGACTAGCAACAAAACACTCTGAGAGCCACCTAAACAGCAGAGGAGTTTTCTACAGATCAATAAGTAGCAATGGTTAAAATAACTGAATTCCTATAGAGTAAGTAGAGCACACATCAACTTCCATCAAATCCAACCAACACCAGAACATGGAGACTAAACTGCATAACTAATGACAAGCACATTCTAGCTGCATAACCAGAGGCAGAACTTCCTTTACATTTCTTCTCTTTCTCTCTCTCTCTCCTTGAAAAAATTTCTGATTCTGCATCCATTGATATAATTTAGGCCTCGTTTGGGAATAAGCTTTTGTAGTAACTTTTTGACTTTTTGACTAAAATATGATGTTAAAAAAAATAGTATGTTTGGGATAACTTTTTATTTTTTATGAAAAGATGTGCAAAAAGTATAGAGAAAATAGAATCTTTGATTTTTTTGTATAAGTTGTTGTCTTTTTGGTTTTTTTAGTGATTTTTGACTTTTTCGGTAAAATCACCACTTGCCAAACAAGGCCTTAGTGTCTAATTTTTACATCCAGCCAAAAGAAACATACTTTAGTCTTTACATTTCTTCTCCTCACCCAAATTTGTATACTTAATAACAGTATTCAAGTTTGTGGAGCAGCCGGAGAACAATGGGAAACAAATAGGTCAAAGGTGCAGGGTTAAGTTCAAACTTATGAGCTTAAAAGTGAAAGGAGATATGAATTACATACCAGAGCTGGTAAATTTTGCAGTCATTTTTGGTAAACATTTACTATTGATTTGAATGATTTGGTTGACATGTACGTGGAATCTGTTGAACTTAATGGTTTCATGGTGGGTTGGTTTCTTGTTTACAAAGTCCTAAGCAATAGTTCCTATACTGTCTTGTCATGAACTAGAATTAGAACAGCTATTTTGGGCGCCGATAACACTTTTGACTTGTATTAAAATGTTTTGGCTAATAGAGGGATTGGTAGCTTGGAGGATTAAAAGGATAACTATTACTTTCCAAGTGGTTGTTTTTGCATTAATTGCTACTTCATCATTCTTATTGATTAGCATTCCCATTGTATTGGCTTCTCTTGATGATTGGCAAATAGCGAAATTGTTGTATTTTTTAGTACATTCTCATGGATTGGATTAGTTTCTCTGGTGGGTATCCTTAATTCTATCATCTCTTGAACCTATCCATTCCAACTCCAAGAAGGAAATGACTGCCTCGATTATTTTTGGCTGTCAGACACATTAAAAATAAATATAAGTCCTCCAAATGCAAATTAAGAAAACAAAAAAAATCAGAGGAGGGTCAAACTTTTTAAATGAAAAAAGGAAAATTAAATAATTTGAACGGTTTTGAAGGGTCTATGTGGGGCTTCTCGCTAGCTAATTATTGTAGGTATGGCTTTGTCCCCGACAAATTGAGTCCATGCTTGAATGTCTATTCAATTTCTTATTGATTCCCAATCAGTTTTGAGGCAAAAATGACCCACTACTATTGTTTTTCATATCTTGTCCCAAGAGCATAAATAAATGCACAGATGAATGGGTGTTTGTTTTTTCGTATTGAGGAATGAAGTGCCCTTCCCCGACTTTGTCATTGCGAGACTAGCCCTTGTTGCACTTACTTCATCCTTGTGTTGATATTGAAAATCATATTTTTGAGATTAACAAGGATCGTTCTTTTTTGAGTGAAATAGAAAGTTCTATTTTCAGTTAACAAAATTATAGTTATCTAAATAATGGATCTATTAGTGACGACAATCCTTACTATGATTGGCATATGTATAATAAAGCATGAATGCCTGGGGGTATTCCTGTGTATGAGAAAATAGTAATGGAGAAGGTATTAATTGAAATGGGATTTGTTTTGGCTAGAGCGCATAAATCCACTATATATTTGACACGGGTTCGCCATAATGCTGAAACTATGACAAATCACCCTCCTTGCAGTTAATGTAATGGCTTTGGGCTTGTCCCGCTCTGATAGTGTAACGGGCAGTATGTACAAGGCCTAAGCATGAATTCACCATTGTATGTATGAATCAATAGTACAAATAAATCTAAAATCTGATTTACGTTTACGAAGTTCAAATGATTTGCAATGTTGAAGATAGATCTTTTTTTCTTTTTCTTTTTTGATTGGCAAAATAAGTCTTTATTGATGGAAACATACAAAGTATGATAGAGTACATCAATAAAGACGAGCTTGGAGCTAGCTCAAGCTCAAAGCTCCAATTGGTGAGAAACCAACAAAAAGAGAAAAACAAAAAACCAGAAGCATAAACAACCAAAGTACAGCCACAACAGAGCAAACCATTAGCAAACCAACCATTAACAGTCAGCATAGCAGCAGATTTCAACCATTAGCAAACAGCATGGTAATCACCAAGACTAACATTAGAACAGGTCACCAAGACTAACAGATCAGAATTGTTTAACCCTCACATAATTTTATTAGTCACCAAACCACCAAGACAAAACAGCTTTTTCCCAAGACTAAGCAACAGGATACCAGATTATCAAAACAAAGCAGACCATCAGATAACCATCAGATACCAAATTACCAGGCTACCAGATTACCATCAGATAAATCAACCTTCACACCCTTGATCAATTCTGTCATATCCAGTCTTCCTGTGTACTACCTCTCTTTATTTAAGATGCCCGAAGGTGTTGCTAGAGAAATAGAGAAGATTGAGGCTAAGTTTATGTGGATGGCAATAATCTAAAGAGGAAGGTTCATCTAGTGAAATGGGTGGAGGTAACAAAGAATGTCAATCAAGGGGGTCTGGGCATAAGAAGGATTAGAGATGTGAATACTTGTTTACTACTCAAATGGTGGTGGAAATTTGGGAATCAAGCCAATGCACTCTGGAGAAGGGCTATCTGTAGCAAGTATAAAATTGACAAAAATTGTTGGCATCCTCCACTGAGATCCCATTATAAGCGTTCTAGATTGTGGTCTGACATTATCTCCATTGGGGCCTATAGCAGGAATACCTTCAATTTCTACTTGGATAATTGTCTACTTAAAGTGACATAGTTAGGATATTTGAATTGAGGTAATTTAAAATGCATAAATGGAACCCTTTACAACTCTAATGGACATGGTCCAAAGTCCTTGGTTCTAAATTTAAGATTGTACAAGTTGAAGCAAATGCACAACAATCAACTTTTAATATAAATCTCACTAGACCAAAATGCAAGCTTAAACTGTTGTGCTGGTAAATTCTACATTGTCTTTAATTTAGCAACAAATCCTATGATTTGAATTTTGACTAAAAGAGTGTTAAATTTTTTTAATTTTCCTCCTTTTTTTGTTTTTTTTTAAACATTGAAGAGGTAGTAATTTAGGAAGTGGGATGCTGCTGCGCGGCAAAATGGGCTTATTTCGGGGCCCATTTTGATAATCCAAACCGTATACATTTTAGAATACAGCAAGTAGAGCATGTCTACAAAAAATCAAGTTAATCAGATATCGTTTATCAATCCATCCACTCATATTGTATTCATTTTAATACTTTAAATCACAATTATTATTTATTTTTGTAGATACAAATGTGAGTGTATGAATGGGTAAACGATATCCGATTAACTTGATTTTTTGCAAGCATGTTCTACGATGTATTCTAAAACATGAACGGTTTAGATTATCAAAATGGGACCCGAAATGTGCCCATTTTGTTGCACAGCAGCATCCCCACATCTTACCCGAAAATTTAATAACACTCCAATTAGGCAAAGCCAGCTAGGATTTTTAAAATACTGAAACACTACTTGAGTTATTGCCGAAGGTGGCTTGTTTTTGTTTTTATTGTTGTGTTGTCAAATTTGGTAAATTGTTATCCCATTAATACTCTTTTAACTTAGGACACACATTTGAAGAAATGTTGAAATTTTCTATAAAAAAATTAAAAAAAAAAGAGGGTACTACAGGATTTAGAGATTTTTATTCATGATAATGGAATGAATATTCAATCAAATGCCAGTGACCAAGATGACTTATTTTGGAAAATAGTTTTCCATTTTTCTCTTGTTTGTGAAAGTATGCTCCAATTTGAAAATTCTAATATGTACCATGGACTAAACATATTGGTTTGATTTGGTTTTGTTAGTACACAAACTTGAATTTGTGTTATTGGCAAGTCAAAATTGCACATCAATGAACTACTCATTGAGAACATAAGTTCAGAAAGTTAGGACTATTCACTTTAGATGAATGGGTAATGTGGCAATTTACTTGGTATAGGTGCTTGAAAATTAGAGTAGCTAGGGTAGTTGATGCAACCAAGATTTAACAAATTCTAATATTTTAATTTTATTATTTTTGGCATTAGTATACGACTAGGAATCTTATGATTTGCTATAGAATGATCTAGAATTATTAGGTTCCTTATTAGTTTTTTGGTGTTATCAATCTCTTGTTCTCTAACAATTAGGTTTAGGCTATTATTAATAATGATGTTAGCCTTGTGACTCATATATTATTAATAATGATGTTAGCCTTGTGATTCATAGCTTCTGATGATTAGTGAAATTTTGAATGATTTACTCTTTCTCTAACTTTGGGTATTTTTTCTATTGATATTGTTGATGTCGTTATTCTTGACATTCTTGGCGAATCAATGGGTTTACAAAAGTATTTTGTTTCTAACATTTGTGTATGAATTGGCAGAGTTAAAATTTTGCTATCTATTCCATCTTTTTACATGCACTTGAGTCTTGATCATGGCTCCAAGAGGATCACTGTTTGGTCATAGTTCCATTGTTCTCGATAGGAGGGACGACTGCAATGGATGGAGGGTGCACTTGATGGCATGGTACAACAAATCGCTACCTTAACCACTGTAAATTAACCTCAAAATGAATGACGAAACCTGCACCCTCTAGAGGATGAGGATGAGGTTGAGGTTGATGTTGAGTGGCCATTCACAAAAAAAATTATTCCAGATCCGATTGTGGATTGGAATTAACCACTAATTTTTATGAACAACCAATTACAGAAAGAAATTATGAAAAGAAGTCCTATAGACATTTGAAGTAGAATTAGTTTAATCTGCTAACCAATATCAATGGTGGATTTAAGTGCCCATGTGATATTGTCAATGACATGTGTTTGAAGGCAATTAATAGCAACAAATATAGCGTTGATGTGGTTTGTTTTACTTCTCATTCCACAATATTCATATATTCCTTAAAGAATGGTTAGGATGAGTCATCGCCGATCTCCACCTTGTAGGATAGAAAGTACTTAAGGTACTTTATGGCTCAGTAGCTTGTGATGATAAACAAAATTTTGAATTATTTACTCTTTTTTTGAATTTTGTATATTCTATGTGAATCAATCATTGTTGATGCCTTTATTCTTGGTATTCATGGTTGATCAACGTTTACCGACAGTTTTGTTTCTGGCATTCGTGTGTGAATCCAAAACCCAACTAAGCCTTGTATCCCAATCAAGTGAGGTTAGCTATTCGCACGCGAATTCACCAACTCAAAATCGTGGTACCTGCTTTATCTTTCTACATGTTTCCCTGCATCTGTATGTCACACATACTATATTCAGATTTTCCATCAAGCATATATAGGGTGAAAATAGGAAATGCACATACCTTTCTTGGCCTTTTGGATAAAATATTACCTAATTTGTCTACAAAGGTTGTAATTACTGTGTATGATTCTTTACTGATAGCAAATATGTTTTTTCCTTTGGTTCTATTAAAATTATGTTGACAAGTT